CGTGTCGCCCGCTGCTAAAATTATCATCTAGCGTTCATCTTAGAGGACATACTCTCCCACCCCACGTCGTCTGTGCGCTGAATGTTGAATCTTTCAAGTTGAGACTTGATGAAGCATTAGCACACCTTACATTCCAACATAAGTGAATTTGAGTGCAGTAGTGAAAGAAGCCCGTATCAGGTGACATTTTGCACAAGTAATTGTATGTATTACTGTCTTTTAAACCACAACACGAACCTATGGGATGAGAGAAGCATGAGCTTGTAAGTTATTCCCATAATAAATATTTCATCTTTGATCTTTGAAAGTTCTTCGTGTTTGTAGACGTTTCATCACTAGCTGAGGTGACATCATCAGTGCTTGTAAACTGGCTTTTATCCGTTGGTTTATATATGTGCTCGTCTTCAAAGACAAATTTTGTCCCTTGTTCTCTAATATCGGACAAACTGGGAGAAAACTGTCCTCAAGGATCCGTGAACACCAATCGGCAGTCAGGAGATATGACCCACTATCGTTGGTTTCCACGAAGATCAAGAAAGACAGCAGTTTGACTTCGATTCAGTGAAAATTATCGGCCAAGCCCGATCAAAACACCCCAGAGAATTTCTCGATGCTTGTCACTCTTCAATCAACTAAATAAACAGGCACATCGAGCCGGATCACGTGTAACCGCCAATGCAACTCAAGGATCAAATTACGCAACAAAAATGTCGCGCTGTGACCTGAGAACGGAACACAAACAGCAATCAGGACGGAAGGACAACCACCCTCGTCCCCTTGTACCAGTTTAACGGCGAGCCGAGTCAAATACAGTGAGAACAAGAGACAAAAATAGCCAGTGAAGACGAGCACATGTACAAACGAATGGGTACAAGCAGAACATTGCCACTTCATAGGCACTGATAATCTCACCTCGACTGGTGTGATCAAACTTTTGCAAATAAATTGTCAAGCTCGGTGAACAGGTGAAATGGCATTCGGTATGCATTATGTTAGTAGTCTATGTTCACCGAGTGGGCGAAAAGCAATTCGTCTCGTTCTCTCTCTCTCTCTCACTCTCTCTGTCTCTTGTCGTCTCAGTTCTGTTACTAGTGTTCTAATCAATTTGGCAATAATTTTACAACAGCATTGTGTTTTTTGTTTCACCATGCACTTTTTTATGTTCGTTTGTCTGTCTGTTTGTCTGTCAGTTTCTTTTTGTATTTGGCTCCAACTGTGGCATGGGATTTCCACCGACAAACCGTTCTCTTCACTGACTTCCATCCTAGGCTATCTCGCTCTCTCTCAGCGCCCAGCCCCCCCCTACCCCCTACCCCCTACAACCGCTGTATCCGTTGGGTTCAAACCTGAAATTTGGGATACCCCGTTCCGAACGAAGTCAAACCGGATACCAGAATTATTGCTCCCCAAACACCCAGTCCCGGGTGACCACCGCATTCATGGCTGTTCCATCTATTCAGACGGTACGCGTAAACCTTTTCGTGGGCCTGTTTATCGTCGTAACAATATCTAGTGCCCCCTCGCAACTTGGATTTCAACACGCGGATATCAGTCCAATTCAATGATCGAACATTTGTCGTATGAGAGTAATGGATGGTTGTGATTTGTTTATACAATCAGTTCGTCACGTAAATGAGGCGTGAGCTGAAAAGCTGGGAAGCACAAATGAACAAGTGTTTCAACCTGGTTGGGTCTCATCGTGTAAATGGAAAATAAAAAGCGGTCTAATCAGCTACCCGGTAGCCGGGTAGATAGTATGTTTACGTTCCAGCTGTGACGGCCCGAGTTCGATCTCCCGTCGAACCGAACATTTGCTAGGCACACGTATGCGCAAGAAATTCCTTACAAGAACCCCGAAGGTTAGAAAAATAAGGTCACCGCAATCCATTAGGACTAGAAACACGAATAGAGGTCGCGGAATCTTCCATCCCATGTTGTATGGCGAGTTCAGTTGGGTCGTTGCTGAATAAGGCACGAAGTATCGATCGGTAATTTGACTAGTGCAGGGGCGCTCTTGTCCTTGTGCATTCTGACCGGTGATTTTAATCGTTTGATATTTCTGTTTTGAGAACTTCAGTTTTGGTTTATCTTGAAAGTATTGAAAGTATTCCGATAAATAACTCAGAGGTCTCCTTCATAAAAAAAATGAGCCCCTATTCGCATGTCTGACCACTGTACAATTCTTCTGCATCCTAAAACCACTGGTAGCATCCGGGACAATACCTAATTAGACTGCAAGATATAAATAATCTCCTCAAGTGATTTTTCTCTTTTCGCCAATTCCAATAATTCTTCCCAATGTGATCATCTCAGCATCTATCTTAATTCCTCTTTCGAGTTTTGTTTCCTCTTCGAGAACATATATCCGTACTGACAGGTTTTCATCGCCTCTTCTAAAAATTGTGTTCGCCGTGATAAGAAGGTCTATCTGCATGGGAGGCACTACCATCTTAAACGACTATCGATTCTCATCAAGACAGAGATCCAGCGCTTGAATCCGATTGAAGTTGAGACCATTCTGGAAAAATAGAGCTGTCACGAGATTTGGTCGGCATCGAAGCAACTTTTCCGCACACGTAGCAGCTCCTAACCTGGCTTAACAGAAATAATTCGAAAATTTTCTGCCTTCTTTGGTTCTCATTGGTTCTCTACCCTTCGCGTTCAATTCCGTTGAGAACACCAACCCTGTTTCTCCGACTGCGGTTCTCAAAAGTTTACGCAGCTTAAGTCTGACAAGGTGCATGAACCGGATTCATTAGCTCCAATTTGANCCAATTTGAAAACTTGTGCCGAACACTTTGCACCACCCAATACCGAATTGTTCAATTTGTGTATGTCCTCCAGAACAATCCCGGATTGCTGAAGGGCTGCCCGGATAAGACCTATTCCCAAGAAGGGCTCTTCGGCGCAACCGAACCGGTCTCCAAAGTTAGCCTTTAGAGTCGACCACCGTGATGCTCACCGGCAAGTGCGCGGTCCAAGGGCAATCTGAGTACCCTAGATAGTTGGCCACATCCGAACTGGTCCCGCAGTCACCAGCTCCCAGAGGATTGTGGACTGCCTACTCCACCCCACTGCCGTGTGAGTCAGGTTCTTTACCCAAAAGCTCCGGGTAGGGTCCCCCAAGAAAACCCTGGGCAACAGGATAGTACCACGCCGATAAGCTAACTATGAACTAAATAGATAAAAAGGGCTCTTAAGAGTCATGACCGATTGCTTGTTCCTAAGCTGCGCACTACTGAACCGGTTGACTACCCTCGCTGATGTTCTCGATCCTCTTCCGTTTGCTTGTAAACAACCCGTTTAGACTTGACGCCGTTGTGTATGTTGTCCATTCTGTGGCCTCAGTTTTAGATAGGAGAGCTGGAACTGTTCCCCTTATTTTTCTTGTTTGTGCTAATGTTTTTGGTTCGCTTGACCGTAGCATTACCATTCAATGTCTTACTCAAAGCAGCTTTAGATAAGGCGAGTTAAATGTTCGGATAAAATACTTCTCATCTTTTCCTTTACGGGCAGAAGAACGCACGCGAGGGGGAGAGGCACTCTTTTACTTTGCGGAAACTTCAGTCGGTTGGTCTTCCGTTAGTCTACCGACCGTGGTGGAAGAGAAGACAGACGCTGCTTTCAAACGGTGTCTGGATGAGCACCTGAAGGGGCTATGGAGGAACGAACACTTGTGATCGGACCTTCGACCCAGTGGTGATGGGGCTTACACGGGTACTCTGTCCTCTCTCTACTCTCAAGGACGTATTTTACCTCGTATGAAGGTAAAACGTCTTCCTCGTCTTACGTTTACTCTGGTGCTTTTCAGGGCGTAATTTATCTCTGTTCTGTTTCCCCGGAACATAAAATACCTGCCTGTTCCTACCAACTTCATTCTCTGTAAGTATGCTGACGACGTGGTGATTGGGTGCCCGTCCAATAATGTTTTATCTTCAAGACAGTATGAAAGATGTAGTTAGTTTGTTCACGATAGGTTACGCTTCATCTGTCCAATTGTGTTGATGTTCCTTTTAATCACAAATCTGGCTCCGGCTATCATTTTTACTTTATTTGCTTGAAAATAGCTAAAAATTCTTTTAGTTTGGGTTGACTTGACTTGTGAGCTTTTTCTGATGTACCATCATCCACCTATGATTGGATTTTATCTGCTTCCGCTTCAAATATAACGTCACTCGTGGATCGGGACCTATGGCACACTCACTGTCTGGTTATCATCTTATGTGTGCCGACACTGATCTCTCGAAAGGTATCGATTCTGAAATTCTCGTTATCAATGCGGTTCTAAAATTCCACCATAGTTGTGAATGCCATGCAACGACCTACTCCAAGGTCATTGAGAATCATGTGAGCATGTGGTCAATGTCACTCGGGTAGCTTACATCAGTTTATCGACCAATGAGACACCGTGGATGCGAGTTAACATTCCGAAATACGAATGTGAGAGGATTATTAGCCAATCCATTTGTGAATCGAGTTAGGAATGCGGCTAAGTACATACATACTCGGAATGCTTAGGTGTGTGAAGGTCCAGGAGAGGGCGTGGGGGAAAGTGGAATAGATTTTTTGCGATGAAAGTTCTATTTTCTTTCTAAATATCTTTTTGTTAAATCAAAAGACATTTTGGGTTTCGGATTTCCATTCGAGTGCCGCTTGGTAATGATGGTGCATGTGGGAACGAGGAGAATCCAAAAACCATACAGGCAGTGAGTGCATTACTTTCATCCGCGGGGGTGCAGCTTATTGAGGGGAAAATAACTTAAACATTTGACAAATCACGCTCTGTTTGTTTTTATTTACAACACTTAAATTGGCCCCCAGACAGAGTTCAGTGTAATCTGAAAAAGAATTGCTACGGGGCTGGGATAGTTTGCCCAGATTACTCTTTACTTAGGCCACTATGAAACACAGATGGCAACGGAACCGCGGGTGGGGGGAGGAAGGGTTCAGGGACAGTGGTGGGAGGAACGATTCAATGAACGGAGAAATAGAGACAACATTCACCGAATCGTGTAGTACGTATCCAGTAGTAATTGAATCAGTGAATCTAACTGGATGGGTAAATTGTTCCAGACAGTCCACTGCTGGACACCTCGATGTTGTTGACAGAGCAAATCGACCAGACTAATCGATTGACGACACACTTCTGTCCCAGCCAATTCGACTCGAATGGCGAACATGCCCGGGATGAAACGAGTTGTGCTAGTTCGCGAATTCTCTCCATTCAGACGTTTGTTGATCTGAGGCACGGACTGTTCCCGTGTGTCCGGATAGGCTAAACATTCAGTCAGTGGCTCGATAAACAAATTCCAATTGTGATGCCATTTGAATTGATCCGCCCGGATGAGACGATATTTTCGCATTCGACTTGCGGACAGTTTGATGACGTAAGAAGCGGAACCACGTGCGCGTGAAGACCAACGATG